CCAACACCATGCAAGGCAACGATACTTACCCGCTCCCACAACACCGACCATTAGCAACATTTCACGACATCCGTCACAGGGAACGGGCCGTTTAACCTTCACAAAACCCTTTGAAGAAAGGAAAAAAGGGGGAAAAGAAAGGAAAAGAAAAAAGGGAAGGCAGTTGACGGGCAGCTCACAGGCAAAACTACACATCGAAGATGTCATGCAAGAAGACACTCCGATAAGAACACTTACTGACATTTAAATATATAAAGATTTTCGGCATTAGATACGTGAACACAACAGTGATAGTCTAGAAAGCACAAGAAAACATTACTCCTTGTCCACTGAACAAATTGCATGCACTGCATCATCAAAAACATTAACGGCCACTTGATCACACCAAGAAAACAAAACATGGTTTGCTGTTAAAACGTTCTTGAGAAAGATGCAACTTTTCTACTTCTGGCACATTCGCTTAACATATGCTCATCATAATTAGTGCAAGGTTTAATAGTCCACTGTCTGTTCACCTCTTCTGGCTGAAGCTGAATGCCACAGACAATGAGAACGTTCCTTTAGAGGTATTAAACAAGAAATGTCAAGTAGTTTACCAAGGATCAATGTATGGCCAAAATCGATTGGTAGCCGCAACAAAAATTAAACAAGCACACATTACATTTCTGTTTACTAGTGCTAGGTAATGCCAATTGTGCAGAGAGACCTGAAAGATGTTGGCACAGTCACACTCTTCTCCCAGTCATTAACAGTTAGGAAAAAAAATAGCAGCATTTAGACCTTTTGCAGTTAAAACCCTGGCATTAATAGAGAGCTTAGAACATACTACAATAATTTCATTGTGCAGGACAGTATGCGAGATACATTGAGGATTGAATGCAGTGAAACTCTTGCATAACAAATGTCCTAATTTAACTTCGTTTTACACTGCACTGTTCCATATCATCACTTCACCAAAACGCAAGCAGTCCCACGTACCATTTTCAGCAAGCCATATCAAAAGCAATTTCTTTGCTCAAAATAAACGTTAAAAAAATGAAACCCATACTTGTAGCCTCTGCTTTGATTTCCAGAAAAAAAGATGTGAATTTACAATTCAATGAAGATTTATAAAACACACCAATCAATGTATTGCAACATTTGTGCCGATAGAGTACAGAGTGCCTCCAAATAGTGCAAATTTGATGCATGTAGAGGTAACTTCTTGATACATTGCGTCTGGAAGGTTAAACATGTTGCACATTCACATCAATCAACAAACTAAATTTGTTAGTTTAACTGTGTAGGTATAAGGTGCATCCACACCAGCAAATCGCAAGCATTTCAGGCTATCGGAGCTTAACATAACTACACAGATCACTTAGTGCATATTATCATGCTCCAACTTTTCCCCCTGAAGTTTAGAATAGTTACTCCTATTATTACAAGCACAATTAATGGGTACATGGCTACAAAAACTTACATCCTATAGTGGCATCCAGTACGCCACATCCGATGTTTTCGTTACGAGTGAATGCAGTGCACAAAAACTTAATTCTACAACATAGGGGTGAACCTGTTCACAGCTGCGGCCCCTTTGTTATGTGCTTTTCTGCAACGTAAGTAAAGATCTCATACCACGAGATGGGGGGGAGGGATTAAGGCAACTTTGCACTAATGGTGCCAGGCACAAAAGAAGCGTGGAACTATGCAAAAATGTTTGAAACTTTCTTTTTTAGTTTATTTTCTCTTTATTTCCTTTCAGACTTATTTCTTACTTGCTTCCTTTTGGTTTGCTACTTCCGTAAGTGGTTCTGCCTGCGTTATGCCAAGCAACAGCTTGTGATAGCCCATGTTCTTAAAGGGACACTAAATTCAACTGTTAAATCAAAGTTCATTGTTGAAATAGCGCTCCAAAAACCTCGTAGTGTTACTTTTGTGCCAAGGAAGGGCTAATTTTGAAATAAAATCACGTCCTACTGGTCCGCATCGGGTTAGCGCACTTCAAATTACTCGCCTAGAGAAGTGGACAGACTCGCGTCACTGTTGCCCTGCACAATGTTGCCTGGCTTTACGCTTTACTGCGCTAGTAGCAACAGACCGAAAGCTGCAGGAACCACAGCAGCACAACTGTCATTGATCAATTTTCTGCCATCGGCTTCGAGATTGCAGACGTTTGTTTCAACGGCACTCCGCTAGATGGCACCACCTGTCCCGCGTAACCACGTGAAAATTGAATTTTTGAATTACTCGTGCCATTCCCCATAGTTTTTCCATGAATCAAACAGAAAGGAAAAGGAGCATTTTATTGCATCTCTTGATGCACGGAAAGCTCTTTATTTTGTGCAGTTAGATCAATTACTAGTGATTAACTGTAGGCGGCCCGTCTGATGTCATCGGAATCATTTTGCAAAATGCCCTACTGTGGCGCTTGTGTTCTCGTTAACTTAAAGAAAAACTCCGGCATTTTTTTTTATATTCACCGGTTTCAATAAAACTGAACATGGGTTCGTGTTGGTATTGTGGCGATATGTGCCAAATTATACAACCATAAGTCATTTAGTTTTTTGGAAAACGAATTTTAAAATTTGTAGCCGATTTTGGAAACACTTGTAAACGCGGACCACCTTGTGTATATGACGTCAGAGCCAACTTTTTTTTTAAAAACCCCGCTTTTCCCAGCAAACAGATGCAGCGCATGCTCTCTTCTACAAGGTGACGGCAACGCGAGCACAGTTCAATTTTGTCCACTCCATCACCAACTTGCTTTTTGCGCATCAACAGATTGAGGCACCTGAGCTATGTTAACGCCCTGGCCAGCCTTGGCGCGAGGTGTAGCGGGTCTTGTGAAGCCATCGGCGACGGCATCTTGCGACACCATTGGATACCCACCATGTACGACAGAGCCGCCCCCTGTTTCGGTTTTGACTCTTCGTTTTTGCTTAATTAAAATTATTGACAAGTGCCTGGGCAAAATGAACCACCCTAGCTTTTTCAGGACTGTCGAAACTATTAGAAAACAGCATTATCTCAGCATGGATGAAAATTCACCAGTTCGCCTTCAATTTCTCAGTAAGTAGGGCACTGCTGTCGATAATATTCTCTGCTTAGATGTCACACATCGAGCTTTCACTCTGGACTAATTGTTATTTGACTTTTAGTGTCCCTTTAAGTGCTCTGAACTTGATATCATCAAGGTGCTCAACAAATAAGAGGAATTCTCGGCGCGAGCATGCGCTGAATATGCTACAGATAAGCAGTTCCACCTGTGTTGCGCCAAATGACGAAAGCGTATGACAGCCCAGGCCCCTAAAGTGCTCCAAAAAACTTCAGGCAGAAAAAATAATTGAGTCAAATATTGAAATAAACAAAGTCCGCCTGCATTCCAATTCACTACCTTTTCTTACCTGAACCGACAAAAATGAAATACCGAGTTTATGGTAAAACGTCACAGTCCCAATTACTGGGCATCAAGTGCCGAGGTCTCTGCTTTATTTCGGCTACCCTTGTTATACCAATAAGCATACATAGGAGTTTACTACACTTCACCCTGATTAGAATACGAGGATCAATCTATGGTTATGTAATACTTTCCACAACTTAATGATACTCAAATAGCAGTCTTGCACCGATCTTTTGCATAGCAAGAAAAGCCATATGTAAGACTAATGCATGCTATGTCACTCACATAATAATACAACTTCACATCCATCACCCTTCTTTGCTGTACATTTAACACTAACATTTCACCATTTGCACTGCGATATTCAGGCAGAAACCTGAAAAGCCGATGCAACTTTTTGTAAGCAGCTGTACACTACCTACAGAAATCTAGCAAGCAAATACAGGACTGGCATATATTATGCACACAATTACTGGCACGTGCGTAAACTTCCGCGGCTGAACTGGATTTAATTTGCAGGTAGTTTGGCTAGTTGGCTAAGCAATGATTTTTCGCAGATCTGCCCTCGACTAGTCATGGAGCACAAAGGGACAACAAAAACAAAAACACAAGGCCAGCACGGGTGCAACCTTATTCACATCTCACTGAACAAAAAGTGTTCAGGCATAATTAATTTTGAAGACACGTGAGCGAAATTACGGCAGTCCCTGTAGGCAAAGAAGCACGGCGTTACGTTGAGAGAACTACATTCGCCGGTGCCAAATACCAATTGCTACGTTCGGGTAAAATATTGCCAACGCGAAGCTTCTCCTTAAAGCGCACCTGCGTTTTCGCAACTTCGAGACTATGGAATGCGGCCGGTAACCGTGAACCAAAGACCTCGTGTTGTCAGCACTCGGCCCAAACAATGCGCTTAAACACAAAAACAAATCGGATATAGCACGTACAGATGGGATTTTAGGGAGAACGCAGATTGTTGCCTTTAATCCACTCGTAATTAAATATTTAACTCTTAGTACCAAATATGTCAGCTTTCCGACAGCCTAAGCCTCCTCATCTGAAAACTACACATTTGCAAAAAATAAACGCGGTGTAAAATCAGTTTAAATAAGTTATGTCGAACAACAGGAACTTATTGCAACTACGCGAACGCCGGCGATAGCGACGGTACTGGAGGAAAAAAAGAGGAAAACAAGGTCATTTCCTGCGAGCGCACTTCGAATGACAATGCAATTCGCGCGCACCAAAGGCCAAAAGATAACGCCCGGCTAACGTGGCCAATTACTACGGCACCGTATACTGTTCGAAGGATTGCCAGTGATTACCGTTGTATTACCAATGCTAAATAACGGAAGAACCCCCTACGCTTCCAAAAACGACCTCGGAAAATACCGGCGCGGCTTCGCCAGGCCTCGTTTGACGCCTCGCAAGAGTTCACTCCCCCCTTCTCCCCCCCTCCACCTTCATTCTCGTTTACACTTTTTTCGTAACAAGCTCTACGTAAGCCAAAATGCCGTCAGGGCTACGACATTTCCTCGTTCACGTATACATTAAGCACGTACTGAAAATGCTAGGCCTGCAGCGGGCAACGAGGACGCAGACTGCGCGGGGCACATACCTCCAGAATTTCCTGGGCGGATTTGTGAGCAGGCCGGTGCAGTGGACGGTGATGCTGTCGCCGACGTTTGGCCGAGGTCCTATGCCCGGCTGTATTACTGTTTTGAGGACCCCAGGCGTAACCTGGTACGACTGGGCCATCATGTTGGCGTACAGTTTTAGGCCGTGCGGGGTTTCGGAGTCACGAAAGATGCAAGTTCCCGGGCGCGGGAACAAATAAGCAATGGAGGCTGACAGGCAAGAACCGCACTGGCGTTCGCGATGCGTGCCGACGGGACGACTGCGGCTGGATTCACCGGCCGGCTTGTATTGGACCGGAACGCTCGTGGCGGAGATGATGGTCTCTGGAGGCCCTCCAGCGGCGCGATATTTGAAAGATAACAGTGCGCCTCTACCACGTCGTTTACTGAACAACACATTTTATCGTAGTTCGATGACGTAGGTGCACTTTCGAGAAAGGGTAAGTTGATGTCACGTAACAATAGCTGTTATACTATTTAGCATGCCTTTGCTTGTTATGCCGCAAACGTGGAACTTTCTGGTTATGGACGATGTGCTATCAGCGTGACATAGCATTATTAATAAACAAGTGAACTGCCACCGTGATCTAGTGGTTTTCAATAGCTATAATGCCATATTTATAGTATGGTGGCCACCATAGTTATAGCACGATAGTTATGGTCATGTCATACTAACTAGCCCAAGCTGCCACACTTCTAGTGGTTGTGTCGCGCTCGACTGCTGATCTGAACGTCGCGAAATTGGATGCAAGCGAAAATGCTCGAAGGCTGTATGCTTATAAATTTAGGGTCACTTAAACCCCGCAGGAATGGGAAGGGAAGGGATGATGGGGTGTTTTACTGAAAACAAGTTTTTCATGAGTATACCGGCCCCATTGTCCCTTTCACCCACAGTCAAATGCACACCTTGAAGGGTACGTTCTACACCATGCATTGGTTTATTCAATTTGCTGTTCACTTTTTATGTGCGCATTGTTTTGAAGAACGGCTTCTTGGCCTTTTCAAGCTTTTTTGGAGAAAATCCGAGAGAACACTGATTGCAATAACTAAATATCGCCATCTTTGATGTTCTTATTATTAAGAATTTTAATTGTATTTCTCTAGCTGAAGCAACTAAAATGATATATTATGCAACTTCCTTCTGCCAGGTGACAATTAATGCTATCGAGAGCAACTTCGGTCATGCAGTCGGCCTGATTTTTGTTATTTGCTCAGAGAAGCTTCACAATTCCTGTCGAGTAGTTCAAATAAATATTTTCCAAAACGCCGAATGCAACACAAGGTGGGTGGAGTCTGCCACCTATTGATCGATTGTCGGGCCAGTCTGTGAACAGTATATTGCCACGTGAATTCTTTGCTCAAGTTTTGTTATCGCCCCGTTACACGTACTGTACATAATTCTCAGCGCAAACCGCGCCTGCAGTCCTCGAGAAGCTTCGGGACTATAATAGACCATTTCATTAATATAACGCCCACTTCGCGAACATTACAGATTACTCCGGAATATACGCGGCCCCTTGCGATAACGCTAGAATATTCGACGGCACGTGTATAAATGCAGACGCACTTCACCGCTTGTCAGTTGATCGACGGCCGACGCTCCGCAGTGCCAGTGTTTTGCTGTAATCCGACTTTCCTTTCATGTGGCGACAAGTTCGGCCAAACAAACAGTTTATTATTCGACCTGCAGTCTGCTCCCTTCGTCCACGTCACAACCCCGTGGCAATATTTTCTGTGACCTACCTTGTGCTCCCACATTCTCAGCACCAAGACATGGACTCTAAAACGTGCACAGCAATAGTCGCGTGTGCAATTGAGAGCACTGCAAGTACTAAATCCACGCTTCTTTATTCTTTCATTTACAACTGCATGTCTTCGGTACGGATGAAAATTTTCTCACTGGGCATTTTGTTTCGTTTGTCCTTTAGCGAAAGTCAAATAAATGCCGTCTCTCTCAATATTGGCCACCGTCCCCCTAGGGCCATATCGTAGCCAGGGAGTGGCCCACCAGGCTTGTGTTCCCAGCATACCCCTTCCCCCCACCAAAAAAAAAAAAAAAATCCTGCCTATGTCCCTGCTCCAGGGCAGTTGCAAGGATAGTGTTTCAGAGGCAGTGGAACTACAATGCTATAATATTTTTTTGTCCAGCTGTGTACATATTGTTATGCCCGAGGCATGGTCCCGATCGTTCGGGAGCGCTTCTTCCCACGAGAACGAGCGCAGTTCTGGCGAACTCCTCCCGTCCCTCTCAGCGCCACCTTCCACGCAGACACCACCGTGCAGTTTCGGGGAAAGCTGCGCCTCCTCCGTCGAGCCCCGGGAGCTAGTCACAGAGGAAAAACCAAAAACATTATTTAAGGCCTGCCAGCCCGATGTTTGAGGATTTTGCCCCAGCCGACGTCGTCGTGCTGGCTGACTCTGTACAAACAATAATCTGCTATAAACGTTGCTACCTGCCGTGTTTCTCACAACGATTGCCTCCCTATTTCGCCCGTGGGCGAAGGCTTAATTTAGCGACGTCCGTTCCGCTGCTCGGCAGCAACGTCGTCCGCTCGGCAGGGACGTCTGTTTGGGGAGGGACAGTTTTTCATGATGTTGCTTATAGATTTAATAATTTCATTTAGAATATGTAACCTCAGCAACTGCAGCTTCCACTGTTCCTTTTTCCAAAATTAAGATTGCCTTGCCTAGTAAGGACTACCAAGAAATTTGAATGGCACTTCTAATGATAAAGTTACGAAGAGCGCGTCACCATGACCACTTTTACCTAGCGTTTGAAGCTTAATTACTTTCCGGCACACTACTGTGAACCGGATAACATGAAAAATATTCATATTATATTTCTTTGACACGCTTTCAGAATATAAATACTATGAACGTCTATTGTAAAGTGTCCAAAAATTAGTTGTCAAGCATTCCGGTTGAGAAAACGCGAAAGTGCGTAATAAACGTCACAATAATCAAAATATGCTAGTTTAAAACATCTTCATAAATAGTACAATGATTTTGTCACGCATTCAATGCCATATCATTCAGCTACAAGCATTGTGGATTTTTCTGTCAGCCTCAGAGCAAGAAGCTGCTTTAGAAAAAAAGAAAGAAAAAGAAGTCAAATGATCGGCACGCACAATAAAAATCAATTGGCTTTTTAACTAGATAGCGCCTCGTGGTCTACTAAATATGCGATATGTCATCGCTGTGCTAAATGAGATTGAAAACACTGATTAGAACAACTGAGTGGGTCACTGCTGTGACAAACACCAGCTAATTTGCCGCGGCTACTGCCCCGAGGGAGCCGCCGCCCCTCGTTTTCCCTCCCATCCCCGTCCCGTCGCGATGCAGCGGCCGCAACTGACCCTACGGCTGACACGCGCTCTCCCATAGATATATCCATTCGACGCGGCAGGCCGTACCGAGTGCTTTTTCATCCAGCGGCCGTGTTTCTACACAGTTACACTTAAAAGAATTCTTGCATGTCTGTGCTCAGAGATATCTCGCGGCAAAGTTTACTTGTGCAATGCACGATTACGCATGCAAGGCAATGAAAATTGGCGCAATGTGTTCCTCCGCGATGTGACGAACAGTCATATCGGGGAGGATATCACTATCGCCAGCCGGTAGTAGAAGGGCAACAGCTATCGCACCAGTGCTGACCGTCTTGCATGCGTAATCATGCAAAGCACAATTAAACTTGACTCTGCGATATCATGGAGCAGAGGCATGTTAGAAGAATTCTTCCAAGTATAACTGTGCAGAAACGCGACTGCCTCCAACTATTCAATACAGTTATGCCCGCTAGCGTCTGTCACTCAAAAGGTAATTACTAAATCTTAGTTAATTGGTGCACCGAAAGCCATAATTATTGTCTCACTTTGGAAGCCCCTGGATACACAAGTTATCTGCAAAAGTGGTTTTCATGTTCTTCGCAGTGCTGAACTTAAAAAAACCCATAAAGTTCAACCTCAAACACCTGGTATAACAATGCTATTCAACATTTCACGTCACCAAATTCCATTAGGATGCACTGTGCAAAATAACTGAGTTAAATCAGTACTAATTAGAAACCACCAGTGACTTGCACTTAGAGCCAATGATGCTTTTGCTTCTGGTACACTTGCCAATTTAGGACTCAGTACTTAGCTATTCGCTTTTGCCACTACGTATACCACTGCTGCTATGTGCAAACGTACAAACTGTGCACTGTAGGAAGTCCACAAGCTTCACCATGTAATGAGACTAGACATATCCCAATATACAGCCACAACAAGTAAAGCTAGGTGCCCATGCAGCACAGAGTTTCTCAGTAAGTTGCCCTTGGGGAACATTTGGTAGAAGCATTGTATAGTAATCACAGTGCAGTGTGTTCACTTCGTAAGCACCGGCCAAAACTGTACACAATTCAGTTTCTTGTAATTGGGCTGTGGCCATTATATTGTAAAGTGTCACGTGTGCTGTACGGTCCTTGCACCGTCTCCCGCACTTACTGCCAGCGCATCAGCATGTTCGCAAAAAGAATGCTGTGCAGTAACGCACAAAAATTACTAGCCTTGCATTCCCTTTCCCTGCCTTGAGGGAGCTGTAGGTGACCATGGGATGACGTCGATGCAATGGGTACAGCTGGAACGTTTGCATAATTACTATAGCAGCCAGATGCAACCAGTACTGTGAAAGAAAGAAGCTTGACCAGGAGCACACAAATCAAGAACAAGGTGCACGACTTTATTTCACAAAGGACAGCAAAAGTGGGGCATTTCGAGCACCAGACGACATCCGTCCTACATCGAAAGCAACAGGCACACAGAGCAATAACTCCCTTTTTTTTAATTAAATGGGGCCATGCATTGAACAGCCTGAATTACCAAGGACGCGCATATCTGGCAAGCTTAAATCAGCAGTTTTCTCGCAAGAGTAGAAAAATACACGCTGGCAGCTTCTGCCACTGTGATCACATTGCAGCAGTTCAACAGGCTTTGAAGGACTAGGTAAAACAATCTCAAAACACCTTCACTTTTTATTCGTCTACCATCGTAACATGGACCAGCATTTTTCTAACAATGTTATGTAGACATTTTAAATAGACAAATTCGATGTTAAGGCTGACAAATTATAGTTTTCAGAGGTACAGTCACGACTCATGAGCAATAAGAGAGAACACCAAATCTATGCTTATTCGATGAGTATTTGTAGTGTACACTCAAACCTCATTATAACAAAGTTGCATCTTACAGTAAAACAAGTTTGTTATATCAAAAAATTCATTAAAGATATGTTTCTTACAC